AAAAAAAAAAAAATCATAATCAAATTCAATTTCTCTCAGGAATGAATGCAAGGGGTGGTTTAACACTAGAAGAAAATGCAGGGCACAGTGACTCACGCCTGTAATCCTAGCACTTTTGGAGGCCCAGGCAGGTGGATCACTTGAGCTTAGGAGTTTGAGACCAGCCTGAGGAAGAGTCAGACCCCATCTCTACTAAAAATAGAAAAAAAAAGTAAGGCAAGAGGACCTCTTGAGCCAGGAGTCTGAGGTTGCTGTGAGCTATGATGTCATAGCACTCTCTCTACTCAGGCAACAGAGTGAAACTTTGTCTCAAAAACAAACAAAACAATAGAAAACACATTCATGCAATTTAGCATATTAGTATTTTAAAGAAAAATGATTATCAAGTGGCCCTAATTAATAGATGTTGAAAAAACAGCTAATAAATTCTAAGACCTGGCCAGGTGCAGTAGCTCATACCTATAATCCCAGTGTTTTGGGAGGCCAAGGCAGGAAGACTGTTGAGCTGAGGACTTTGAGATAAGCCTGGGCAACACAGTAAGACTCTATTTTTAAATAAATCAAAATTAATAGAAATTTAAAATATTAACTGGGTATCATGGGTATATGCCTGTAGTCCCAGCTACTCAGGAGGCTGGGGCAGAAGGATTGCTTGAGCCCAGGAGTTGGAGGCTGCTATGAGCTGTGATGATGCCACTGCGGACAGAGTGAGACCCAATCTCTTTAAAAAAAGAGTAAAAAAAATCCAACACCCATTCTGAATAAAAACTCAGCAAAGTAGAAATGGGAGGGAAACCCCAGACTCCAAAGTGAAGTGTTAGAAGTGTTCTCCAGTGTGAAGGATATGGACGAGGCACCACACCAATCCACAGGCCCAGGGCTTGAGAAACAAGAGAGGAGACAAAGTCCCATGAGGTATCTGAGGATGAAGCTCAAGCACCAGCCAAACGGGAGGCTGGGATGGGGCTGTCCACACTCCTGGCCTCAGCCAGAGCCAAGTACTGCTCAGCCCTGTGGGATGGAGGAGGGGTGCAGCCTGCCAAGGTGGCAGCATCAGGTGGCACAGGTCCTTTCACCAACCAGCGGCTCTGCCCAGCTCCCCATTGGTGCATGTGGAGGAGGCTGAGCCCACACAGGGGCCAAAACTCCCAGCCACGGTCTCACACCTGACTTCACACTCTCTACTTTTTTGTTTTTTGTTTGAGACAGTCTTACTCTGTCTCCCTGAAGAGAGTGTTGTAGCGTCACATCTCACAGCAAACTCAGATTCCTGGGCTCAAGTGATACTCTTGCCTCAGCCTCCCAAGTACCTAGGACTACAGCCATGCACCACTACTCCCAGCTAGTTTTTCTATTTTTAAAGACAGGGTCTCACTCTTGCTCATGCTGGTCTCGAACTTGTAAGCTCAAGCAGTCCACCTGCTTTGGTCTCCAGAGTGCTGGGATTATAGGCCTGAGCCACCGCGCCAGACTCACTTTCCTTTCTGAATACTGGTCTTCTCTTTCTTTTACAAAATCTTTGTAGATACAGAGACATACCCGGCCGGAAGGGTACAGACAACCACCATGAAGACCTGAGAATGGGCCCAGAGAGGCCTCCCATGCTGCCCACCTGCTCGTCACTCCTGTGGTAGTCATGGTCCTCCTCTGGTTTCTCCTCTGCAGCCTCTTTGTTTGAACTGTCATCTGCTTTGGTTTCACCTTTCAGCACAAACAGGAAATACCATATCATGAAACCCTACAGTGGGCTCAGGATGCATCCCACACTCATTCCACCCAAAGGTCTGCCCTGAGGGTGGAGTCCCTCCTCCTGTGCCTGTGGGTCCCTGCCACAGTTATTGCTGCAAAGGGTTTAATGGAGCATAGAAAAGGGACACATAGCAGGATAGGTGGCAGGGTCATGCAAGCTCTGCTGTCCTATGATGGCCATAGTGGCCCCCAGCTGTTCAGGGCTGACCATATCAGTCTGTCTCTTCACAGAGCTCAGCTCCTAAAATTTTACCACCCTAACACCACTTTTAAATTAAAACTTCACCTTAGGTAAGACAAAATTGAGGGTTCTAGATTCTCAGACACATTTCTTTTTTCTACTTCTTGAGACAGAGTCTCACTCTGTTACCCAGGTTAGGGTGCGATGGCATCATTGTAGCTCACAGCAACCTCAAACTACTGGGCTTAAGTCATCCTCCTGCCTCAGCCTCTCAAGTAGGTGAGACTAGAGGCTTAAGTCACCACACCAAGCCTAAAGATGTATTTTTTAACCACTAATTGTGGCTGTGCCCGCATAGGACGTAAGGCCAGCAGAGCTGGTCACTTTCCAGTGGCAACAGACGGGATCCATCCTTGAATTTTCAGGAATACAGAGTGGTCTACACACTCCTTAGCGGTGTGTGTGGTCCACCAGGAAAGAGCCATGGAGTCACAGATTTGAATATTTGCTATGATGATTTAAAACATCACTAACATCACACTGAAACCACAGGGTTATTTTCCCATTTTAAAGAAAAAGAAGTCTAGTTTTTTAGTTAAGTCTCAGGAAGGTCACCTTCCACTCTCTCTTCTGCAAGCTGTCAGCCCCCAGCTTTACTTCCAGAGTCCAGGTATTTTCTGGGGCCCCTTATCTCCCCCTAGCCCAGGAGTGAAGGGGACACCTCAGGACAGAGCCTTGCTCATCTGATGCAGATGACCCAGACCAGGGAGGGCGGCACCACACTCACCGTTGCGGTGAGGGTCCACGTGCTGCTTCGCAGAGCAGGCCTCTCCCTTGACGTCACCAGGCACCTCCATGCCCAGTTTGTGGTAGAATTCTCTCTGCTTTCTCATCTCCGCTATTAAAAATCAACATATAATCTTTAATCTGAAGTAGGCAGAGATTATATTGAAATTCTATTCACAAATATCAAATGAAGAATAGTATTGGACTTGATGACGAAGTCTGAAAAGCAAGTCCTCCCACACTCAGCCCAGAGGGTGCCTCCTGCCCAGGCCTGATATAACACCTGGATAGGTGACACAGCAGGCTGAGTCCACCCTCTTCATGGAGCCACTGTGCCTGGGGCATGGTATGTATACACACACTAAAGTGGCAATGATGCCATGTCAGATGTAACTGCTGACCATCATAGTTCAGTCATGTCTTTTCCAGTGGGCCAGGAGCTCAGAAAGGCGTGGATGCCTAGTTTTCCTGACATATCATGGCTAGGACATAACCCTCCAGCCTAGAGATGCCCCAGGTCACATGAAGGACCCCAGCAGGGCATTTATGGCTGCAGTTGAGTGATAGTGGCGAGGACAGCCTGAGGCCACATGTCCTGGGGCCCTGCCCTCTACATGCCCTCCCAGCCCACAGGGTATTTCGGGTCTACTTCAGTGTGAGGAAGGGGTACCAGGAGTGCCACCTGGCGTCTAGGGCCTGTAGTCATGGCTACACGAACCCCAGGGAGGCCCCACAGAGGCCAGCTCCTACTGCAGACAGGTAGCGTATCAATATAGCAGTCTCGGCATCCCCTCACCATGCTTGTCACCTGGATTACCGGTCAGTGTGGCAGCCCAGCTGCTCCATCCTGAGGGGCCCAGCACTCCATCCTGTGGGCTAGGCCAGAGTCTCTCTGAGCACAGGTTCCTCTGATCCCACTAAGGATGGGCAGCAGGACCAGGTCACAATTTTGCACATTCCAGGGAAAGACAGACTTTGTGGAAAAAGACAGCTACCAGCTGACTTTCCACAAGTGCCATGTCCGCGTGACTCTAAGGCTCACTCACACAGCACAGGACCACATAGTGGGCAGCAAATAAGAGTTAAGAGCGAGCCAATAACCAAAAAATCACTCTGAAAAATAACTTATGTATAGCTGACCAAGGAATGCTTCATTTAATGTTTCTCCTGTAAACTGTGAGCTCTGAGAGCCTGGAGTGTGCCCTGGGTCTGAACCAGCCCTGCACAGACGCCGTGCAGACACTGGTGGGGCAAGAATGAGTGACACAGAAGGTGGCAAACTCAGCAGGAAAAGGAGGACACCTCTGGAGTCAGAGATGTGAGCAGGCCGGCCTTGGGTGAGGCACAGGTTTGGGACCTAAACAGCAAAACACTAGGCTGCAGGAGCAAGCTGGACGCCATGAGGTCAGCTTGGAAGAAACACTTCCCTAAAGTGACTTCATAGGAGGCAGCTTGGGAATGAAGATGATAGCAGGGTCTCTTCTATAAAAGAGGAACCACCGGCAAAGGTGGAGAAGAATCCAGCTTCATACACTTTGTTTTAATTCCCATTTATAATTTTTTTCACCTATGAGAATGGGGTTGAAAATAATACCCCACTGTCAGGTATATATAGGCATAGAATTTTTTTTTTTGAAACAAGAGTCTCACTCTATTGCCCTGGATAGTGTCATGGTGTCATAGCTCATAACAACCTCAGACTCTTGGGCTCAAGTGATCCTCTTGTTTCAGCCTCCCAAGTAGCTGGGACTACAAGTGCCTACAACACCCAGCTAGTTTTTTCTATTTTTAGTAGAGACAGGGTCTCATTCTTGCTCAGGCTGGTCTCCAACTCCTGAGCTCAAGCAATCCATCCACCTCGGCCTCCCAGAGAGCTGACAGGCATGAGCCACCTCGCCCAGCCTAGGTATAAAAATGTTAATTGGGATAATTTTTCAGGAAAGTGACTTGGCATTACATACAAGAAATACTTAAGGCTCAGTGCCCATAGCACAGTGGTTATGGCACCAACCACATACACCGAGGGTGGTGAGTTTGAACCTGGCCAGGGCCAGCTAAACAACTCCAACAACAACAACAAAAATAGCTGGGCGTTGTGGCTGGCGCCTGTAGTCTGTAGTCCCAGCTACTTGGGAGGCTGAGGCAAGAGAATCGTTAAGCCCAACAGTTTGAGGTTGTGGTGAGCTATGATGTCATACTACTCTACCAAAGGCAACATATTGAGACTCTGTCTCAAAAAAAAAGAAAAAGAAAAAGAAAAAGAAATACTTAAAAACTTAATTACTGGCTCGGCGCCTATAGCTCAAGTGGCTAAGGCGCAACCCATATACACCTTAGGTGGCGGGTTTGAATCCAGCTCAGGCCTACCAAACAACAATGATGGCTGCAACCAAAAAAATAGCTAGACGTTGTGGCGGG